GATTCGATAATGCAAGTGCATTATGATAAGTACCCCTTAAATAATCCACTATTTTGTTCTCATCCTGCCTGAGCCACAGACCCCCAATCCATGGATTAGTTCCTGTGGAGAAAGACAAGGGGGTGAGCCCAGTCCAAATCTCCCGAGTCTGTCTTTGCGGATTCCAGGATCTTTCACCCATTCTGTAACACAAGTCTCAAACTCACTCATCTTTAGGGCCAGATAGGTGTGGTAACATACACTTTAGCGACTAGACCCTGGTCACGTACACTTTAGGGAAGAGTAGAAATAGCTACTTTTCACCATTGGGGAGTGTTTGCCATGTTGAAATGACAGCTCAGACCTTTCCAGTTCTCAAATGATGCAAATAATCTGTTGTATGCAAAACCTTCAAGAAATTTCAGTGTGGACAATTTAAACAGAGACCTTTCAAAACACTGTTGTGGGCAGACACGTCATGGCTACCCCAAGGCTTGCTGCCCGTACGACCTGCAACCTCTGTTCACTGCGCACCAGGCCCTTTGCAGGGCACTCTGGAGCACGCAGAGCCAAGTGGGCAGCAGGCTGGCTGGTGGAAGGCTCCAGGGGACAGAGGACTCAACCCCTGAGTAAACAGTGACTGGGGTCAGAGCCAGACGGAGGAGTGAGGGAGAGACCACCTGGGGAGGTCTTCATGGAAGAGGATTCCCTGGAGCTGGGGTCTGTGGGGTCAGTAGAGTGATCTCTGTGAATGAAGTGGGGGCAGAATCACTCCATGCGGAGGAAGGCAAGCTTTGAACTTTGGGGAAGAGAAGGTGTTTCCAAGGGACTAGAGTATATTTGGGGCACAAAGGGGAGTGGGGAAGGGCTGTGATTTCAACCTTCACATCGCAGGGAGAGCCACGTGTGCCCAACACAGGTGCCTAGATGGTGCCAGCCCCCGAGATCAGCACTGGGGAGGGCAGTGTCCCAGGAAGGGCAGGCAAATACTGACGGTCGAATCAAGAAGCCTGTGCTTACACCTGCTTCCACTATTTTTAGAATTGGATTCATTCATTTAGACTGAAGATCACTGAACCCCAGAGTCAGTTATGAACAATGCTGGGGCTTCACAGACAAATAAGCGAGGAATTGTTCTTTCTTCGGGGGGGCTTATAGTCTGCTGGTGATCACTGGGGAAAGTTTGGTCAACTAACTGTTCTAGAATGCTTTCCTTAGAAAAGGGTGCCAAAAAGGTTGCCAGGAGCTAGTGACAGCTTTTTAGGTCCAAGGACCTAGACCTTGATTGGTGTAGAGGAGTTTACCACGGGGTAAAGTGGAGCTAGAGGAGGCTGTGAGCAGAGGGGAGGCAGAGGTATGTTGGAAACATGTTTTCGGAAGATGGAGCTCATTCAATCACTTAGCAAATGCTTATGAGTTCCTGTTGCTGGGAGCTGTGCCAGGCATCAAAGAAACGTGGTAAAGCAGACACCCACTAACCTCAGTTTCCCTGTTTCTGAAATGCTTTACAAACCTCGCAGAGCTTTCGCGAGGGTGATGAGGCTTAGATGGGCCAGTACATGTGTGAAGGTGTCACACTGGCAAACGCAAATGTTCATTTGATATGCTCAGATTCTGAACCGCCTTCCTGTCTTGGCTTCCTTAGAGTAAGGCCCTTGGAGTAACCTGCCAGACACTCAGCAGATAAACTTTGTTAGTGAGTGAATAATCAAATGACCCAATTCTCTGTGCACTGTCCCCTCATTTGCTACCTAGAGCCTCCATTTATCTCCATTTACATCGGAGGAAGTGGCAGCTTCAGGACAGCAAGTGACCTGTATACTAAGTCCAGGGAGTCAGAGAGAACTCCAGCTGCTGTTTCCTAGGGGCCTGAGCTCAGAGCCCCAGTGCTAAACCATGGCCCGTCAGGTTGCTCATAGGTAGGAGGCCCCAAAAGGCCAGATGGAAAGCAAGTGAGAACTTGGAGGGACTTTGAGCCCCCACCCCCCCCCACTGCCCCCAACTCCAGCTAGGATGGTCCTCAAAGGTTATCTCCCAGGTCAGGTAATCTGTCTGTCAGTCTGTCTGGGGGCAAGGACAGCAAGGTGTCCTAACCCACCTGGGAAGAGGGCACATCCGGTCCTTTATGCAGGCAACAAGTCCTGGGCTAAAGAATGTCCTTAGGGTTGAGAGCAATGCCGGCTGACCTCTGACATTCTGCAGAGGAGGTGACAGAGATGTGAGTTCTTCAGGAAGTCATTGCTGGAGAAAGGTCCGTGATGGACGAGCACTGACGAAGGCCTCTGTAGCTGGTAGGAGAGCAAGTCCAGGCTTCCACAAGTCTCTGTGCCAATACACATCAGGAATGAGTCCTGTCTGCAGCTCCTGGGCTTGGAAAAACGAGACTTTTATTTGAGAGTTTTTTTTAAGTCTTAGTACAGGGGCTGGTTTCAGCCAGTACTATCACAGACCTGCTGGCTATGGAGAGGCTGTTTCCACTTGTGAGTGTGTGGCGTTGTGCAAGTTATCTTTTTCCCTCTGTTTCTTGTTCTTTGAGATGGGAACAATGACAAAAATCAAAGCAATGTTGGTCTGAGTGCCTGAGGCACTTGGTCCTCAATAAATGTTAGCTATGGTTATTATCTTTCATTTTAAGAGAAACACGTATTGAGTAGCTACTAAGTCACACAGTGCAAGGGACACAGGATAAATAAAACTATCCTTAATTTCAAGAAGCTTCTGGTTAGTAGCTATGTCAAGTGGATAGTAGATATGTCATCTTTTTGTCCCATTTCTGATCTGGGAGGATAAGATAGCTCTACGCTGAATGTACCTGCTTAAACAGGGACTGCAGAGAGTGTCTATTGATGGGGGAGACCTGGGTTTGAGCAGCTGCCTCCCATATCTTTCTAGGACTCTGCCTTTCCCCTGTCTTACTATTTTTCATTCCCATGTTTTTGCCAGGAGCCCACAGCACTAACCACCATCTAGCATTGTTTTTACTTACATGTTCATCATGTGGATGAGGGTGCCTCTGCCTGGTGCCAACTGCCGCAGAGAGGGGGAGAGGCCTGTTGCAGAGGGCTGAGTCTGGCCCCTCCAAAGCAACAAGTCCCCAGCCTGGGTATGCTGGATGACAAGGACAGGCCCGTAATATTACCCACATCTATAAGGTCTTACAAATCTGGCGGCACTCGCTTGAAGACACTCCTTGTCTTCAATCTGCATGGAACTAGTATCTGATCATGAGTTACAGGTGAGGAAACTGAAGGCAAGGAGGTGGGTTCCAAACTGCAACTAGAATTCTAGCCCATCCAGGTTCTTGAGGTAGTCTAAGAATCCCTGGGGTGCTGTTAAATATGTAGGTGACCAAGTTCCCTCTAAAAATGTGAATTCTGAAGATGTGGACTGGGTGGGACTCAAGAACTAATGGTTAACAAATACCCTAGGTGTACTTATGGCTAGGGAAGCCCAGTCACAGCGCTACTCACTGACTTACCTGGCTAAGAGTCCCAACTATGATATGTACCGTGGGGTGAGCATGGTGAACAAGCCATCTCCCCCGCCCCGCCTCCCC